GAGATATTTCTCGTTCGGGCTTTAACTGGCCTAACCCGAACCCGGACCGAACCCAGGCTACCAAAAACCGGACTCGGACCAAATATAATGTGAGCTTTGTTTCGGTCCCTAATTTTCATAACTCGAGACCTTCCGGGTAATTTACGGATTTAGCAAAAACCCAACCCAGACTGGACCGATCTCACATTCTCACCCCTATTTTTATATTCCCGAAATAAGAGACATTCTTTCCAGCCTACTATATACGAAGTGTGTTTTTTTATTATTTTATTTTTTCATTGGATTACATAAGTTTCATTTTGAGAACAAAACACGAGTATGTCTCACTTTTGATTTTTTTATATTATTCTTTTTTGAACAATTTCCTTAAAGTACACTCCGTATCAAGTAGTTTGAAAAATACTCGTATGAACAAATATAAACATTCAAAAATGGGAAAGTTCCCGAAATTGGACTAAAACTGTTTGAAAATTACAAAATAGGAATGTCAAGTTTTTTATTCCCAAAATAGGAGTAATTACTGCCATGTTTGAAAAATACTTCCATGTTTGAAGTCTGGTACTGCCAAAACATGACAGTAATTAGTCTTATTTGGGAATAAAAACATGACAGTCTTATTTTGGAATTTTCAAACATTTTTAGTCCTATTTTGGGTAATATTCTCTTCAAAAATTCGTTGGGGGTCTTAAGGTTTGGTTTGGCCGGTGATAAGTCAACAGTTACGGAACGGGTTTTGAGATTTGATCGATGATAAATCAAACGTCACCTTAGAAATAGAAATTATTCATAAATTACATTAAAAGTTTTATAGAGCGTCAAAATTTGAAATTATATAAATATATTAAACTTGATACATAAAATTAAAGATTATAAGTGAACTACGTTGATCAATAAATTGTAAAATATAACTTGGATTTTGGGACGGATGTAATTTTTTAATGGTGATTGCTTCACCTACACATCGATAACGCTTCTATAAATTTCTTTGTTGCACTCCCTAATTCTGTTGATACACTTTAATTGAGTCAGGTTCTAAAAGTTGAATACATTCTTGAGAGATAAGACTCCAACTTGTCAGACAATGGAAGGACACCCCAACAATAAGGTTGGTGTAGTGATCACTAAAGCTTATATATGAAGTCTACTTTACTGGATTTATCAGTTTTATTATGTTCATCTTTGGGTGGGAGACCTAATGAATAAAGTTTTGTCATGTGAAATACTTTAGACCCATGCACCTATCTCTCAAATTTCTGAATAAGAATAAAAATATTTTGAAAATTCCAAAATAAGTATACTGTGTTTTTATTATTTAAATAGAAGTAATTATTGTCAAGTTTGAAAGCTAATGCCAAGTTTAATTTCAAGAAATGTCAAACATGGAAGTAATGAATCCGTTTAGAGAATAAAAACGTATTACCTATTTTAGAATTCACAAACATTGGTACTCCTACTTAGAACAATTTCTTTGTTTCAAAAATTGAAAAGGTTAATTAATTACTTCTTTCAGCCTAAACTATAAATTCTTAGCTTTTTGTAATTACAAAGATTTGATATAACCCAAAGTTAACTCTCTTCATGTAATATTTAAATTATACGGACTACAAGTGCAATTAACCAAGATATACACATTTCTAAATGTTACGGAAAAAATATTGGTGTACCAAACGGAATTGATACGAATTTGACACAGAGTGATCAATGATTTCGTGCCAAACAGATCGTGACAAAATGCGTTGACACGGAGTTGGCATATCCGTGCCAAATCGTCTATGAATTTTGGAAAGTCCCTATCAAAAATCTTTGACAATCAGGTTATATTTTGCGGTAAATATGTGAGAATGTACAGTCAAAAGAGTAAAAAGGACTAAAGTGATCACAACTTAATGAAGGTAACAAATACTACAAAATGAGTCCGAATGTCCAATGGACAAAGTTAGTATAATAGTCAATATTATAGTCAATAACCCAAAAGTGGTATCAACTCATGTAATAACAACGATAACAAAAATTCAACTAGCTACAGTCATAATAACTTTCACTTAAACATATAATAGCGTCTCTAATGTAAAAGTGTTATCGGGTACGGAGTACATGGTATGTGATGAATGGACACATAAAATTAGAGCATGTAATTTCTTCCTTTTTTGTTTCCACGGTATATTATTTTTAACTATTTCCCATCTATGGGTGGACTCGGGCCGGTTCGGGCCCGGTTCAGGCCTGGGCCCGGCCGGGCCTCGGGCCAGAAAACTAGGGCCCGGGCCCGAACCGCCGGTGGGCGGTTCCGGTTCCGGTTCCGGCCAAACCGGGCCGGGCCGGGCCGGGCCGGGCCAACCGGTCTAATTTTTTTTTTTTTGGGTTCTCCTTTTTAACCCCCTACCCCTCCCCCTCAACCCCAAACCATCCCAAACCACCTCAAATGGCCCAAAATACCTAATCCAACCCAAAACTTAAAAAAATTTCAAAAAAAAAAAAAAATTAAAATCTGGCCCGGCCCGGGCCCGAACCGGCCGGGCCGGTTCACCAAAATCAGGGCCCGAGCCCGGACCGCCATCCCACCGGGCCGGGTGGCCCGAACCGGTGCACCAACCGGTTGACCGGGCCGGTCCGGGCCCGCACAGTAGCGGGCCGGTCCGGTTGGCCCGGCCCGAGTCCACCCCTATTCCCATCACAATGTTGTTAAATGTTAAGTACGTAGAATTTGGATCCCTTCCATGTCACGTATGCAAGGACGCCAACATTTTGAGATTAGAAATGTTCTAATACATTTCTTCAAATGTAATCACCGCTCTTTTGAGTTTGTCGAGTCATTCATTCCTAAAAAGAACTTTATTACTTATATTGTCTTCTTAAAGCTAAACGAGTCTTTTTATATTGGAAAGAAGACTGTACTTTACTCATGTTCTATTATTATTTACAACAACTTCTTAAAAAATGATGGTAATGACGATAACATGACTTGGTGCAATTTGTAATTAAATTGTGATTGGTTTGATCGAAGAGGAGCAAATTTTCCATTTAGATTCATTGTGTTTTACTTTAACATGACAAGATGTCAAGATGAAGTAATCCATTATTTTATGTTGGTACGGGTGGAAACTGGAAAAGATTAAAGTTCTCATTTACGTTCACTATGGCTCACTTTAACATGACAAAATGATGGAATTTGTGTTTGGTAAATGGCGTATATTAGTTTTTGCTTTTGTTTTTAGATCGTTTTTAGTTGCTTGAGTTAGTTTAACAGTTTTTAGTCTTTTTGAAGGTCATAAAATGAAACTAAACTTGCTTACGAGAGAGAGCTCATTGCTCTGATATTTGTAGTACAACATGGAGCTCCTATTTCATAAATAGACATTTTATTATTAAGAGTGCTTAAAAAACCCCTCACATACCTTGTGGAACAAAAGTTTTTGCTCCTTATCAACAGGACTTGATGACCAAGCTTATGCATATAACTTTGAAATACAATACTAAAAGGGACATGAAAACAAATCAGCTGATGCCCTTTCAAGGTTATCAATTTCAAATATCAATTTGATCATCCTTAATTGATGCTAATCAAACAAATCTATATCAACGGGTAACTACATCGAAGAACTGCCAGTAAACCACACAAAATGTAAGCATCATACTTGGTGCAATTCTCAGCTTAGAAAAAGAAAAGGGATGTTGGTTGTAGGATCCAACATGGAGTTAAGAGAAGATATTTTGAAATGGTTTCATAATTCCCTGTGGGCGGGCATTCAGGTAGGGACATCACCTTACATATATAAGGATCAGTCACTGTTTTATTGGAAAGGATGAAAAAAATACATGCAACAACACATTCAAAATTTTGATGTCTACCAGAAATGCAAGTATGATAATGCTAAATAGCTCAGACTCTTGCAACCATTACCATTGCCTCAGACTATTTGGTCAAGAGTTTCTATAGATTTCATACAAGGATAACATATTTCTAGTGGGAAGATTTTCATATTTGTTGTAGTTGATAGATTGACTAAGGTAACCATTTCATAGTCTTAGTTCATGCATACATGGACAATGTATATAAATTATTACATGGGTTGCCTTATTCTATCATCAGTGATGCAGATTCTATATTTCTTAGTGATTTTTGGAAGGAACTATTCAGGACATAAGGAGTTGACTTATTAAAGCCAACAGCCTACCATGATACCATCCTCAAACGGATAGCCAGATGGAGGTGGTTAGCAAATGTCGTTAGACCTAGCAGATGCCATTAGACCTAAGCATTGGCTGAATGGTGGTATATTACTAACCATCATTCAACAAATTATACAACTCATTATGAAGTTTTATATGGTCAAGCACCACCTCTACATTTACCTTATTTGCTTGGCTCTTCACCTAATGAGGCAGTGGACAGAATTCTCCAACAAAAAGAAAAAGTCATGAAGATGCTACAATTTCATCTGCTGAAAGTTCAGAACAGTATGAAACAACAAGTAGATCAAATAAAAGTGAAAGAGAATTCAACATTGGATGTTGGGTATATTTGAAGCTGCAATCTTATAAACAAATGTTAGTACAGCAGTGCAGCAATGAGAAGTTGAGAACGAAATATTATGGTCCCTTCCAGATAAATAATAAGATAGGAGAAGAGGCCAACAAGTTGAAGCTTCCATCTTATGCTCACATCATGTGAGCATAAGTAGTCACATCCACCCAGTAGTTCATGACTTCATGTTTCTCAATTAAGGAAATGTCATGATTCATCTATATCGGTTGGGTTTTTACCTGTATTATTTCATGATTTTGCCATGATTTTGCATACCATTAATGTTGGTCCATTCCATGGTGAAGCCCTCTTTCACATAATGCATACTTCATTTGTCGTACGATTTCTTTCGCTTTGACCTTACATTTTAATATAAATAAAATTATGGTATCAAAGTTAAATTTAAATTGTCAAGAAATAATGGTCATATGAATCACCTAATTATTTCCTTAAAAGAAATCATAGTCGTATGAAGCCCTGTAACAAAATTGCCAACTACTACGTATAACTGTGTAACTATAAGTGCTCACATCAAGCTAATTTTTTCAAAAGTTTTTTATATAAAGCATGTAAAATAATAGCCACGAAGTAGTAGTTACTATAAAGATAAAAAAAACTCAATACAAAAGCTAAAAAAAAACTGGTTCTTGGTATTCCACAAGAACATATACCTTATGATACAGCAAACTTCTGTGGTAGAATCAATCGATCCCATAAGCAATAAATTACAAGATTTTAGGCTCCTTTGGAAATTGTATGATTTGTATGTGTTTCTTGATCCCAAAAAATTCCTTCTTGCTTCACTCACTAGTCATCCCAGTCGTTATCCCATCCATCTTTCTTTGCAGACCGGGCAGTTAGACCATTGGCAGAAATGTTCCCCAGACGGTGGTGCGGATTGACCGCATTGTCCTCATCCCAATCGTCATCATCCCAAACCTGATCCCAGCCTTCTGCCGTGTTGTCCACGTGTATGACAGCAGAAGATTCCGGTAACCCCATTTCAAGTTCCTGATAAGGAACTCCTCCACTGCCGGGCTGTTTCTTTTTTCTTAACTTGCAGGCAGCCCATGTCCCGCCAAAAACTAGTGCCACCAGAAACAGGAAGTAGGCGCCATAGATGGGAGTCACTTGTTTTGAGTATAGAGACAACTGTTGGACAATGTTGCCCACAGGCGCGACAGAATGACCCAACCCAAGAAGCTCACATCTACCACTAATGCCTGTATCAACTACTACTGTTTTGGATCTTTGGCTCGAAGTTGATGATATATTTACCTATAGAAGAAGCAGGACTGCATAAGTAAAGAATAATTGTGCACACTTGATTAAACGAACTCATAGAGATAAACATATGCTGAGAAAACCAACAAGGGTTTGAAGTCACAGGATCTATGCCTCCAATTATCAAGGGAAGCTCCAACCATATTTATGTTCGGGAAGTGAAGCATCATTTCCTCAACCCCACCTATATTGGAGATGGTGGCAATGTGGCATGGTTCGAATGGAATGTGTTGAGAATCCCGCATTGATTTTTTACTGGGTTTAAGTCTAATAATAATATATGCTACGTGATTGTGAGGTAATTGAGGATTACTTCGAGGTAAAGCAATATATATTTGGAAAACATAGCCTAAGTTTTTAAAGCAAAAGGAGTGCCAAAGCAATATAGTATAGCTTCTCTATGAAACACAGACCAAAGGTTCATTTTTTTCAAAATGCACAACGAAATGAAAATTTTTCTTGCTACTTTTTCCAAATAAAAACTAAGTCTAAAAGTTCCTAGAATAAAAAACGTGAGATCATTTAGTAGTCCTTACTTTTTTTCCAGTTGTACCATAACTAGTGTCCTACTTCTTACGATTCTACAAATTCATGTACTCCCCCGTTCCAAAGTGTTCTTCTCCTTTGTTTCTACATTGTTTTTAGACAGAAAAATAATGTGATTGTGATTTGTTTAGAAACAAAGAATCAATATAAACAGAACAATACTTTCACGATAAGAAATTAACTTTTAGGGACAATTCAAAGAGGAGAGAGGGGGGATTAGAGGAAAATTTTGACAGAGGGAATATATCTTTTTAGGTATTATCCGCCATTGTTCTAAATCTCTCTTCTGTACTATTCACAATTTCACACATGTCAACATGATATCGACTTTATCAAGAATCTGACTTTTGCTTACATAGATATCCAAAGCATCTTCGAATTCTATATCAATGCTATCATCTTGAATCATTTTACCATCTATTTCATTAACTTGTTTTGATTTGGTGATTTATAATTTAATAACAAACTAATCAAAATAACAACAAAATAAGGTTGCATAGAAAGAGAATCACATATTAATATAAAGGGAAATTGCCCTAAATAGGAGTAAAAAATGTTTTGGAATTCCAAAATAGGACTGCTATGTTTTTCTTCTCAAAATAGGAGTCATTACTGTCATGATTGAAAAATACTGTCATGTTAATGTGTAGTACTGCAATGATAGCATTAAATACTGTCATGTTACTCCTATTTTGGGAAGAAAAACATAACAATCATATTTTGGAATTCCAAAACCTATTTACTCCTATTTCGAGAATTTTCCCTAATATAAATGCATACCCTTATTGTTTGGTTTGTATTGACTGTGGCAGAATCTTTTCCTGCTGATGTCAGGGTATATATTTTCACTTCCAGCCTGCTATCTCCTTCATTCTGAAGAACAAGGAATGGTTCTTTTGACCCTACAACCAGATAGAAAGTGAGACTTATTTTATGTAGGAAAAAGTAGAAATTTTGAGCGCTTGAACATCATTTTAACTTGTGTTTTAAAAGTCCAGGCTACTGTTGAAAACACGAAAGGGATGAAGAACAAACTCAAACCGAAAATGCAAAGGATGAAATTGGTTAAGACTTAAGAGTAGTACATTAAAATTTTAAATGGAGACCTTAGATTAGACTAGATAATCGATTCAATTCAATCTAAGTGTGGTTTGACCCATGAACATTATTATGGCATGTCAGTGTGACCCCCCCCCCCCAAACCTAATAATGAATTCAATCTAGATTCATTGAGCTTGTTCGGCATATAGTATGAAAGTCAAGACAATCAGCGCCAACCATTTAGTAGTCTCTTAAGATATGAATTGAGACCAAGGGATCGAGATACTACTTGGGACCATTTGGGGGATCGACAATATTGAATCGTTGAATTGGATGGAGGATCATAAGATTATACTTCATATCCAAATAAATTGATCTAGATGTATTTGTTCTAAGTAAAGGATAATTAGAATTATAGTGTGAATCAGTGAATGCCTCTCAACATCAGCACATATATTGATTTAAAATTTTTGTAGTCACTGCTAATTCAATTAGTATTCATTTCTTTTACTGCTAATTCCTACCAAACTATCAACCCCTGCCCACTGCTTCCTCCAGCAATCACCGGCCTCGACTTCCCCCAGAAACCACTGGCAGCCGGGAAGTCACCTGAACAATTCACTGAAAACGTTTCTACTTTTTCATTTTTTACCACTTAATGACTCATTACGCGTAACTTCTTTCAACATAATCCTATTGTTGTCCCAATGATCCTAATACGGTCCGATACAATCATGCTAAAGCATGGTTGTTGATGGCGAGAATTGGCGCATGCGCCATATGGCGACAAAACCCTCCATCGCCATAAAAAGTCTTCCTGTCAACGACCATACACATGGTGGCTCCATCACCATTTCCATGGCATGTGCGCCATAATATTAAACAGATCTGAACATGTTTACCTTGTTATTTTTGGGCTTCGGCCTTTATAAATATTTAAATAATCTGCGAGTCCATAATATTACTAAAACCTTAATAAGAAATTAATATGTTAGCCCATCATATTGACAACTACCCTAATAAAAAGTAAATCAAGAACTAATGCAAAGTCAGAGAAAGCTGCTGAAATAACGTAAAAGCTGGAGTCTCATAGCTGTGCATTAGGGAACAACTAAATGGAACTCCTTCGAAATGATCAAGAGTATGATAATTGATGATGATTATGGAACTCCTTTGAGATGATCAAGAGTGTGATAATTGATGATGATTATGGCATAATCATCAAACAAAAACAAATTGACATATTCTCAAAGACATGAAACTTTTTTAGAATATTATGTTTTTGGGAACTACTATAAAGTTATAAACTATTTAAACTTCACATGTTTTAGTTAGAATGTTGACATTCAACCTTTTTATCGTGTTTTGGTGGTGGAGTGATAGAAATATAGTGTCTATAGTTCATATCTTTAGTTATTTTTTGTCATGTGGAGACGCCATAAATCCATGGGAAAATACCTTGGCACCATGGATGTCACCATATGCCATGACAACTATGTCCTAAAGTGCCAATCCTAAAGCATTCCTGCTCATTTTCAAGGATTCATCCAATTTCTAATCAAATGGAAGCTTCAGCAGTTTTAATATTAGAAATTTAGGGATCCTGGAAAACATCATGTTTCAAGCTATTTGAAATGGGACAAGAATAGGTTTTCCTATTCTAGTTTATAATGAAACTTTGCAAATACTGATTAGATAAATAATCATCCTACACGTTCATTTCAGAACTTCAAGGATCAATATATTGAGGCCCCCTTTACTTCAGTTTTCTTTTGATTTCTATTCTCTTTTCCAAGTAAAACATATTTCTCTTTGCAATAGAAAGGAAAAAAATAGTCTGATGTAAATATGCAGAAGAAAGAAAATATCATGTACCCGTAGTACCATTTTTTGGCATTTGTATGCAGGCGAGCAATGTATTCTTAATGTGGCATTCTTGTAAAGCCCCTTCACAACTCTCATTACCCTCGACCTCGGCTGCCTTTATGACATTCTCTACTTTCCCTTTCTCTTCATGACTCTTTGATTTCGAAGGTGGTATAGCATCTGCTGTGGTATTGGAGCCCTTCAAATCCACTTTACTCAAGTCTTCACTCCCCTGAGTCTCTTTAGGCTTTTGTTTTTCAATTTCTGAACTCTCATTTAATCCCTTGATGCTTATTGTTTCATTCACTTGCGAACCCTAAAAAAATGATTGCATAGTTAACTTGAATCAATGTTCAATTAAATGATCTCGAAAACAAGATACCTGTTCTGGGGCAGTGGAACTGTTTGCTGTTGAGTTAGAGGCGTTTGAAGAGCTTAAAAAGATTAACAGTGAGAAAATCAGCCCATAAATTCTGCCTTTCTTGCCCATTCCAGCTTCCGGGAAAAAAATCAAGCTTGGATTCCAATCATTCTTCCTCTAGAAACCTTTAAAAGCCGAACTTCGAACCATGAATTGAATTTGATGGGAAATAATCACAAATCGGGATGATCCAGTAACTGCCCCAGCTAACCAAGCTCTTAGAAAAAAATACGAAAAATGGTAATTTTAACAAAAATTGAAGCTTAAAAAAGAAATGTTAGACACAACCAGGCCATAGGTTTAACGCATCGACAAGAAAGAAAGAATCTGAAAGCCTGAAACCAGTGATGGCTGAAAAAGTATTTGCAAGTCCGTCCAGATCTTTTTTTCTTTCAACGTTTCCAAAAGGCTATTAAAAATTTCCAGTGACAGTAACATCAGAAAAAGGCTAAAGACTGTTATGTTCGAAGGAACTTCTTTGTCATGTGTTATTGTTTTTATAGAAAAGTATCTTTGTTTTTTTACGGGATAAGGGTCGGTTTAGTCTCGAAGTTACAAAAAAGGGGTCAAATAAGTCCTTATATAGAAGATTCTGTCCGGACGTGTCATTTGAGGTGGCTCCTGGTGGAATTTTTTTATGAAAGTTTTTGAGCATATTATTCATTAAGTCTAGTTCACTCATACCAAATTTCAGATAAAAAATCAATCGGGAAGACATTCAAATGAATTCTTGAAGATAACTGTGCCGTTAAAAGCACATTTATCTTCAAGAATTCATTTGAATGTCTTCCCGATTGAATTTTTAGGTGAAATTTGGTATGAGTAAACTAGACTTAATGAATAAGATGCTCAAAAAATTTTATCAAAAAATTCCACCGGGAGACACCTCAAATGGCACGCCCGGACAAAATCTTCTATATAAGGACTTATTTGACCCCTTTTTTGCAACTTCGAGGACCAAACTGAACCTTTACTCGTTTTTTTACTCCAAGCCGGAGAGGAGCTTGGAGAATCAGCTGGGCTGAAATGCTTGATTAAATACGAGACTTCTCACTAGGCACGGTCACCTCACAACCAGCTGGGCTGGAATGCTTGGTTAGTACTATCGTGTTTATAAAATAAAGTATGTAAAAGTACTATGTATGTGTTAGGATTATTTTGTTTAAGCTTAGGATGTTTTTAGTTTGATCAAATCCGATTTAGACAGATTAGATCAGATCAAACTTAAATGAGATATTACCCGAAATAGGACTAAAAAAGTTTGAAAATTCCAAAATAGGACTGCCATGTTTTTATTTCCAAAATAGGACTAATTACTGCCATGTTTTGACAGTACCAGACTTCAAACATGGCAGTATTTTCCAAACATGGCAGTAATTACTCCTATTTTGGGAATAAAAAACATGACAGTCCTATTTTGGAATTTTCAAACTGTTTTAGTCCTATTTCGGGAACTTTCCCAACTTAAATAGACTAGACTTAAACAGGTCAGTCTATACCAGATCAAACTTGACTTCCGTAGTTAATTGAGAAATTACCCTAAATAGGAATAAATGAGGTTTTGAATTCCAAAATAAGACTACTATGTTTTTCTTCCCGAATAAAAACATAATAGTCTCTATTTTGAAATTCCAAACTCCATTTACTCCTATTTTGAGAAATCTTCCTTATAAAATACATATAGACCAAATGTTTAACAGACTAGGTCAATTCAGACCAGACTTAACAAGACCAACCAGACCAACAATTATAGTCCAAGTAAAAACATACTTATTAGTTATTATTATAGGTCTATTGATCCACCCTTGTAAATTCTAATTTATCTCTATTTATATGTTATTTGGAAATGAAATCACACACACAATTCTCCGTACGACACACTATGAGTGTGATAACGTGTGCATCATACAACACGTTATCTCTCTTTTTTTTCATTTTGATCAAGTTTTATTTTTCTCATTGGGTTTTGTTACTACTTGATAAGATTTTTTGAAGCAACATAATATGCACCACCGCACATCTTAATTTGGCAAAAGTAATACGATGTTGAAGAAAGAACATAAGTAATACTCCCTCCGTCCCAATATAAAAGGCACATTTGCGTTTCTAGGCATTTTAAGGGTGAACACTGTTTGAACACTGTTTGGCACTGTTTAGACACTGTTTAGACACTGTTTGGCACTGTTTGGCACTGTTTGGCACTGTTTTGCATTGTTTTGTTTGCCAAAAAGGGAAATGTGCCTTTTATATTGGGACGGACCGAAAAGGAAAGTGTGTCTTTTATATTGGGACGGAGGGAGTATATCGCAATAAAAAAGTAATTGATGCGTGCTTATTAGTGCTGCATACTTCTTTTTCCCTTAGACCAATGTTTTTTTTCCATTGAGATTTGTTCATTGGCAATGTTTAAGCAAGTTAGTAATTTTTACACTTATCACCTTACACGGTTACTCTTAGCACACAAGGGGTAGAATTAAAGGAAATATAGTCTACTACTTGTGTGTCTTCATTATGGTAATTAATGTAAAACGTATTGGAATACATAGCTAGACTTTCCAAAATACCCTTGATTAATGTAAATATTAAGGATAAGTGTAGACGTGAGGAAAGGGTCTCCCACCTAAACTACGTTACACTCTTTTCCTTTAACCACATTTTATTTTTTGTTGGATTTTGTTACTTGATAAGGTTTTTAATGTGGTAACGATACATATATACTTTAATGATTGAAGCCTTGATTAAATAAGGATATACTTAATGAAAGCACTTTATCATAATATTGGTCTTTTTTCCCAAGTTAATGGTAAATAAAAAAATATGTTCCAAATTCATGTTGAGTTGAAAGTATTTACCAAATTCATGTTGGGTTGAAAGTATTTACTCGAGTTAACAAAATCGGCAATCTCATTGACGACTCTTACGTGGGCGATGAAGCATGTTAGGCAGAACAAGAGTGGAGAAAGCCAATTGTGGGACCCAAAAAGACATAAAAGATCTCATTTATTTAAAAAGTGGAGTTTTTTCCTTGAATAATGTTAATTAAATAAATAATTCCAAAAATATTGTTGGTTTAAAAATAATTCTCAAAATATTGCTGGATTAACCATGGTTAAGCAAACTAGTACAAGAGCCGCCACTTGAAGCTTTTATCAAATACTCCGTATCACGTAACTCACGCAAGCAAGTCAAAGTCAACAATACATTACATGGTAACGGGTCCCACTAAATTAAAAATCTCATGTTTTCTTTGAAGTGCTATAGCTTTTCTATTTGTACTCTGATTGTTACAAAAAATATAACAAAATTCATAAATTTTTATTATCTTTCGTATGACACCAACATTGAATATGTAAAAAAAAAATAACTCTTCAAAAATTACTATGTATCTGTTTTTAAAGTGCTATAAATTTTACCAAGACTGGGAAAGGAAAAAATCAGCCTCAGAGGCTCATAGCTTGACTCGATCATTCATCTACCGGCTCAATTAATGGTATTAAATTTCATCTCCCACGCCCTCTACCTATGGCTTGTTGGTCTTCTATTCCGTTCAGGTTTGCTGCCACATGGCCATGGTTACCCAACAGTCCATTGAAAATTCAAGGGTTATGTGTATGCATGGCTATAAATAATTCACGTCTCAGCTGACCATATTCGGGATTTCTTTTCGTCACTTAGTCTTGTAAGTTTTTCACTATCTTGTCCTTAATTGCAGCAGTGCTGTCAACCTTTTTATGAAAATGCCAACATGAATCGAGAATGCCATCTTAATGACATTTTCAAAGAAAAATATGAAAATTTTAAAGAGTAAACATATCATTCTTATGACATTTAAAAAAAATGGCAATTGTAACAACAAGTAAACCACACCAGTTTCATTTCACCATTATTGACAAACACAACTGTTGAGTTTAATCCAACACGATATAGTAAATATATGTATGAACACTCAGTTTTTACGTGGAAACCCGAAAGGGAGAAAACCACGGGACTTTTTAGGCTAATGTCCAAGCCCTCTCTTTCTCATTAGGACTCTCCTCACAATTACATTGTACAAGCTCCCATTAATGGAGTATTGAGCTAAGTCTAAAAGAAGGAGGAAGATGAAGCTAAAAAAGGATCAAAAAGGGATCCATAATATGGAGGCTAAGCTCCCTATTTATAGACAAAGGGAAAGGGTGCTCTCCACCCTAATGGGCCAAACGGGCCAATATCGGGCCTAATGGGCCGAAATGGGCCTAGCTGCTCGGGCTCCGTACTGGATAATGTCTTGGGCCCCTGAACAGTAATAGGCCGGGATAATATATCCCAACAACAACAATTTCAAAACTGAAACATGAGCAAGAAGAAGAAAAAACTATAGTAAAAGCTCAAACAAATTCATATAAAACAAAAGTAAAAGCAAACATACAGCATGGATGCAAAGAAGAAAGAAGAAGACCTAGGACTTGGCACCACAGCATCTGCACTAGATTGAGATGGAAAAAAATTGAAAATCGAAGGAGTGAGAGGAAGAGAGACCCGACTCTCGTTGCCGCTTCTCGACGACGCTAGCTTCTCGCCAACGCTCGCTGCTCTCCTGCCATTGAAGCCCTGCTATGCGCAAAGATGCGACAATGATGAGCGCGGCGAAGGTTATGAGGGGCCGAAGGGTTGAAATGAATTGGAGGGTAAAATTGGAAGAATAGTCCTATTTAGGGAATAATATTATACTTACTCCTATTTGGGAATTTCAGCAAGAATTTGATTCTATTCGGGGCTAGCTATTTTCCCATAAAAGATTAGTAACTACAAGCGTTTCTCGTGGTATTAGAAGAAGATGACGTGCAGGAAACCAATTCATGGCTAAGTGATGACAAACCAAACCTTTTAGACTCTCATGAATCACTATCAATTATATATTTTAAAACTAAAATAAGGCAATCCATATTGATGTAATCTTTCACAAGCTCTATGGCTGAACTAGAAGCATTAAAAAAACACTCCGTCACAAAATAGGAAGCATGGCATATTTACGTACTGATATAAATATGCATGTATTATTCCAGTGTATTTTCTATCCCAAAGGAAAATTTAATTCACATTGTTGTATTAGAAAGTTCTTTCCCATTCTCTTTGAGCTCACAAGTATATACAACTATACTTTTTAAAAATTATACTTTTGCGTTTTTGCACCTATCATTCTGCCGTTTAATTTCTCCAATTTAAAATTCACAATTTCTTTCACTGATCACTCTCCTTTTCCTGTTGTTTAATCATTAGAATGACATCCAACATGCTTTTGATCTCTCAAATGAAGCCCAGTGTTAATCCATGGAATTGCAAAGTTTGTGTTGTTGAAAAACATAGCACAAGGAAGTCAAAAAGTAGTCTTGGAAAGTTATACAATGACATAAATCCATAATATTACAGAATGAAAGTGTAGGTATTTCTCATCATCTTTATTCCAGGAATATATTTCTTGTTCATTCATGCTGAAAAGTCATTCTTGTGAACTAGCCATTTGTGAATTTTGATCTCTCAAGTACTTTTGTGTGCATTTGAATTTTGATTATCTCTCAACTTGTCATCGTTCAGAGAATTCAAATAATCTACTATGATTAGTTTGAAATTTAGTTAGTAAAATATATGTGCTTATTTTACTATATAGTCAAAGAATATCAAAAACTATATTTCGGCATATGATGTGGTTACTACTTCAAATGAACAAAAGAGAATACTCACAACCATCTCATGCCTTCATGGGCCACATAAACTTATATTGTTGTTTCCAAACCATGGTTTTTGAATTAGAAACCCAAATCCTTTGTCTTTTTAAAATGCATGTATGGCAGAATGTAGTTAATAAGATTTAGAGATTAGCACATATATTTTATTAACTAATTTTCAAACTAATCATGGTAGATTATTTTTATCTCATTCTTCACTATGATAAAAAAAATCTCATTCTTCACTATTAAGATTTCCAAGGAACAAGTGGCAGGTGTAAACCTTATTGAAGATTATACATTTATGTGTTCATTACCTCATTTGTGTACGACCTTATACAAATAATAAAATATATCTGATTATGTTTATATTCTGCCCAACCTCCATGTTTGCCGCATCGAAAGGAGACTAAATAAAAAGGTTAGCAACAAACCTGCTAACCTGAGCACAATGTCTCTGCACTTCACTTTTCTAGGATTTGCTCTACATTCACATTTACAAACATTATAATGATTTCTTGAGTCTTTTAAATTCAAAACTTCGCCCAAATAATGACTTTTTGGCTCAGGTTTTACAACATTTGCATTAATATTGGGCAACTTTAAGTCTTAGCATAGAATCATAGCCAAATTGATCCATAACTATGGTGTGGAGACCCCATGAGAAAATGATGATGGTAATAAAAAATGACAACGATAAACCGATAGAAAAAATGAATGATGGAATGATCCAGACGAAGTGGCTGGTCATGAGAAGTGTTGAAGTGTCACACCAAAAAATTGTGAAGTAATAAAGTTTATAATAAGATTTGAGCTACTTCTCCTATCAGGTTGACCTTTTAGGATGAAACTGTACATTTTAACATGGGGGAATATTTTGAAGATTAGACGCACGTGAGAGAGGAAGGGTGTGGAAAGTGAAAAAAAAATCACTCCCTCCATCAAATTTTACCTTTCTTACTTTCTTTTTTGAGTTGTCCCAAAATAAGTGTCTCCTTTCATTTTTTGGAACGAAATATGTGGCCTACACCATTTCATTTTATTATACTCAAACTCTAATCACAACTTTTACTTTTTCAACCACTTCATTAATAATCGTGTCAAGTCAAAGTAAGACACATAAAATGGGACGGAGGTAGTACTTTTTTAGGAGTTAAATGACCCAATTGGTGAAAAATTCAGACTTTGTGTACTTAATTGATTAAAAAATTGTATATGAACTCAATGAGCTTTTTTGAAATAGTAAGTGGACTGATTTGACAGTTTCTCTTATAATTAAAAGGGTTTAAGATGTATATTGAATTCAAATAGTTGAATTTGTATTCATTTTAAATTGGACAAAAACTATCATTTAATTTGTTATACTTTGAAAATTTCCAAATTCCGGTAACTTAAAAATTAAGGACCTGTTTACTAACGTGAATATGTTCCGTTTTTCTTAAATTAGAAAACTGAAGAAAGAAAATCTGGAAAGCATGTTTAATTACCTATTTATTCTCCAAAATTAAAAAACAAAGACATGTCATTGATATTCTTTTTAAGTTGGAGATCTTACTTCTCGGTGTTTTCCCAAATGGAAATGTGCAACGCTATAGTTCGTCCTATATTTGTTTCGTGTTTGGGTATCCAAGCGGAGTAGCTTTTTTTAAAACTATATATATTATACGAAGTATTTCAAGATCTATGCAACGGTATATGTTGAATAATATATTTGATTTATTAAATTAGAAAAATCAATTTTCACGTCTTTAGTGTTTATAACTTGCTTTCTACTAGGTACCATAAATTTCTTCCAAAATAAATAAGTTTCTAATATTAATTGTAATTCATAGATCATGAAAAAATGTGTCTTTTAAAAAATTTGCCCCAGTTGAACATATGAGCTTCAAATAAAGAATATATAAAATTTTGAAAAGATAACACGGTTTGATGTGATTGTAGCTATAACGGCAACAAACATATACTTTTAAACTTAAAAAATATAAAAATGCTTATTCGCTTGTTAAGCTTTGTGTGTGAAAATAAAACAATCCAATTTGGTATTATATGTCTCAACACTAACAAATGCATGACGCTTGAGACACTGGTGTGAATGCAATTTAATTCGGCATTATTGTAATGTTTGTGACATCAAAGTATTACTAGTGTTATGTACACAGTCTTTTTTCAAGACAGTGCAGACTCTTATCAAAACAAAAAATTCTATTTTCTTAAAAATCGTGAAGTCAAACAATGAAGTTCTTTTGGGATCGGAGGGAGTATATATATAAACTTGGTCTCTTAAATTCAATTACTACAAGCTTAACACCAATCTTGATCGCTGAATGAGCTATGAGCTAGATATACTAACATTGTGAACGCTTCTGGGGGTTTTAAATATGGGAAAAGGTACAAATATACCTCTTTAGTATGGGTGTTAGAACAAATATATGGTTCTATTTTCGGCACAAATATACCCATGGAGTATATATGGAAGTGCATATATATCCCTGAACTTTTTTAAATTAAAGGTGCAAAAACACCCCTCATGTTCTTATAAGGGACCAAAAATATACCTTTATTATAAATTCAAAAATAAAAAATTTTAATAATGTACTTGTGTCCAAATCTCCCTTTTATATTTGTATATCACAATTTAATATTGTTTGTATAAAATATTATTTCAAAACTTTACTATATATTTAAGATTTTTTTGATAAAAGTGTTAACATATGTGTTGCAATGTAATTTTTTGCATTCCTTGCACTATAAAATTACATATTTTGTATGATGCTAAATAGTCTACAAATAGTAAATTTTATTTTATTAAGGTTAAATAAAATCACAGAATTGAATGTTATCTCAAAAAATATAACGATGTGTTCAAATTTTCAAAACAAGACTAAAATTAATATTTATCAATTTGAAATGCTTTATTCACAATGGAAGAATAATAATTTTGCAATTTAAAATTAAAGAGTTACTACCTCCGTCCTATTAAGATTAAGACAAGAGAAGGTGACACGATTATTAAAAAAAGTGAGTTTGTGTGGTTGATATTAAATTGATAAACTAAAAATAAAGTATGAATGATTTATAGTCATACAAACTTTACCAAATTTGGTATGGGACAATCTTAGTGGCATTTCCCGAAAAGGTAAAATGGGACAATCTTAGTGGGACGGAAGGAGTAATATTTTAACATAATACTCCGTAATAAATATTTATTTTAATAAATATCGAATTTATAATTTATTCATGGTGTTTTTTTAAATTTATTTAATATATTTAAAGTTAATAAGGGTAAATTTGCTCATTTATAAGAACATGAGGGGTATTTTTGCACTTTTAAAAAGTTCAAGGGTATATATGCATTTCAACAGATACTTCAGGGGTATATTTGTTCCCAATAAATAGAACATGAGTATATTTGTTCTCACACCCATACTACATGAGTATATTTGTACCTTTTCCCTTTAAATATTAGCCCGAAAAATTAATTTGTTCAATACATTGGGCTTGGTACATGAAAATTAGTTCAATATTCTTATTACTGTTATATTTATTTTTATCTTTGACATTTCAATTGCAACATATTTTATTATATATTTAAAAAACTGTTAAATTACATACTATTTTACTACATTTCGACATTTTTTTGCAACACACGTTATTTAATTAATTAAATTTTGACCCTACCTGAATGACAATGATAGATCCGCCCCTGTGTGGCAGCATCTAATTCACTATATTGCCACTTTTATACTCCGTAATTACTCTGAAGAGTTAAATTTGACTTTTTATATCTTCACATTCTCAATTTTAACTACTTCGTATATAGTGTTTAAAAAATACTCCGTATACTTTAGTAATGTTAAAAATTTACATAGTATTAAATTTATTCCATTATAAACTTTTAGATTTTGATTCATCATTAATCATATAGAAGTCATACATCTACAAACAAAGCAAAACTTTTAGGGAAAATGGAAACTAATAATCCAACCTTTTAGTCTTCTTACGATAGTCCCACCTTTTCGTTATTCAAGAATAATCCAAACTTTGCACCCCATCTTCATTCGCTAGTCCCTGACTTATTAATGACCTGCTATTTGAAGTTATTTTCTTATCTTTGCAAAATATTATCTTTGTAAAAGGTGAGATTTATAGTATAATGGTTTATAAAGATAAGAAAATAACTTGGAGTAGCAGGTCATAAATCGGCCAGGGACGATGAAGATGAGGTGCAAAGGTTGGATTATTCATGAATAACGAAAAAGTGAGACTATTGTAAGAAGATCGCTAAAAGGTTGGATTGTTAGTTTCTATTTTCCCAAACTTTTATTTTACAACTATAAGGCTCAAATGTTTCAAATTAGGAAAAATTGATAGTAATAATCCCAACTATTGGCGGTCCGCTCATAATAATCCCAACTATTGATTATTATAGAATAATCCCAACTTTAGGGACCTTCCGCCAATAATGGTCCCTATGAATAAATTCTTGTAGTTTCTAAAGTGGATGGGATAAGATATAACAAGTAATCCCTATAAATAATCTCAACTTTTAATTTTTACGCTTAATTTCTATTTAAAATTCACTTTTTTATAGAGGTAATATATGGTCATGGACCATTATTGGCGGATAGTCTATATAGTTGGGATTATACAAAAATAATCAATAGTTGGGATTATTTTGAGCGGACCCGTAATAGTTGGGATTATTATTTTCAATTTTTCCTTCAAATTATGATGAACAAACAAACAACAATAGATAACTGTAAGCCAGGGGGACGTAAAACAAACTAATAAAGGGCGGCATCCCGAAGGGGACGATAAATCCGGCCTCTTTTATTTCTCATAAGATAAAATAAAAACATACTCCGTACATATATGCTTAAATTATTAAAAACATTGTAAACATTCAAATATAGATAGTATAGATTGACCATGGTATTGACAAGGAACGATGAAAACCACTTCCAACCCCTATCTCCTTGCATCAGCTAGCTCATTTAATACTGCATCAAGCACCATACCAATTCAACAAATTAGTGGCTCGATATATATAAAAAAAATAAAGACAAACTTTTGATACTTTATTTCAAAACAATTCCAAGTGTTCTAGTAGGTTTTTCTCATCTTAGCTTTATCACTTCAATATAAAGAAGGTAAACTAGTTTTCTTAATAATTGCACTACCTCCTCACACGTTTCATTCTCAATGTTACTCAAACGAAAGTAACATTTATTAGCTAAATGTTACTCTATCTAACATTTTTTTTGTATTATTATTTTTTATCATATCATAGTTCCCACGTATTAATTATATTCAATAAAATATTTAAAAACATAGATTATGTATGAGATTTGTTTTTAATTATTACTCCGGACACTTAAGTATATCATCATGATCATTATATTATAAAATTGAAAATTGTCTTAATCACTAAAGTTATACGTAGTACTTTCGTATTATATTGAGTTTGTAGTGCGTACTAAACATACAAGTACTATCAAATTGATTTACTTTAGTTTAAAATTGATTTGTAAAATTGACTTTTTTGTCAAACAACTTCTATTGGGAGTTAATTTATTTACTTATTTGAATTATTTACTTTCTCTAAATCATTGCATTTTAGGAAGTTTATTTCTTTTAGACTTCTTTCTTGTTTTGGTTTAGGGTGAGCCGTGTTTTGGAATGTAAAAGCCATGCGGCTATATAAACAGGATGTACGAAGTACTGAGATGAACAAGATCGATTTTTTCCTCTTCTATATTTTCTTACTACTACTTTGCGTATCTTGCAAAAATAATAACTTCATTTTATTCACTTAATTAGAATGTCAATTTTTAATTATATTATAATTTGAAGTTTATAACTTTAAGAAAATGTAAATTCTGAATATGTAAACTTTAATTATTAAAAATTGAATCAATTATCAATATGAAAGGTTTAACTTTAGCATTGATTGAAAAAAAAATGTTGACCTTTTAAATCAATTTGTGATTAATGGACTATAAAGTTCGAATTTTTGTTTACGATCTTAATTTGGAGTATATTACAATCAATATGCAATCTCAGTCTACTATTCATTTTTTCTTAAAAAATTAAGAACTCCGTATATGCGGAGTATTAGCTAGGTATCACGGTTTGAAATAGCGGCCCGCTCCCGCTATAGCGGTCGCGGTAGGGGCTGCCACCGCTATGGTCCGCTTTTGGTGTGTGATTTCCAATTTACGGGAAAAATCCGCTACGTCGCCCGCTACAGCCCGCTATTGGCATTTCCGGCATTACGTCACGAACTGGTTGGTGTGTAAATGTATAAATGCTGTGTGAATGATGTGAAAAAATACATTTATGTTGATGCATGGAGTCAAACTCTAAATGAAATGTACATCTATCCACACACATTATGGTAGCAAATATTAATAAATATGTAAATTATAACTATTAAAGCCGAATTAATTATTAATAAAGATGATTTAACTTTAATATCGGTTGATGAAAAAAATGTTGACTTAACAAAACAATTTGGAACGAAAGTGGCATTATTATGGATTATGCAAATGAAATTGGAAATGGAACACAAATATGTATTATTATTATTATGAATTTGGAAGTGGACTTGCGCAATATATGCTTTGTGCAATTGAATATATGCTTTGCGCAATTGAAAATATTTCACGCCGCTGCAATTGCTACAGTCGGTTACAGGTCGCTACCCCGGCCTATTTAAAAATAACCTTGCTAGGTATATACAATATTAGTAGTATGGAGTACATATTACTACCTCCGTAACCCTAGAATCTTCCCAGTTTGACTCTTTTGGGTCAAACTTTATAAACTTTGACCATTAATTATTCAAAACTCACATTATGTTATGATTAAAAATTTATTTTATATACCTCATTGTAAAACATATTATTTGAATGTTAATTTATTATGAATTTTATAAATATAGATATGTAGATATTTAGAGTCAAAGTTCAACTTAGAAGACCGTGAAAAGTCAAAATGAGAAGATCTTTGTGTTACGGAGGTGCTTCGTATGAGTACGTAAAATAGATCAATGAATTACTTACCTGGCACAGTTAGTGCTGGTGCTGAGAGCGTAGCCAATGTTGACGTTGCACTTGCCGGGAACTGAGGAGATGCGACTGAGCTGACCGCCGGTATAGGCTTTAGCAGCAGATTTCAAACAATTGCAGGCAGCCTGGCGGTCGGCGGTGGTTGTAGCTGCGGCACTTAAGGCCTTTATGGCAGCACAGCAAGCTCCAGGCGGAGGCGCCGCACCAGCCCCCTTGACATAAGAAACGCATGGAGCGAGCTTTGAGATAACGGTGCCGCACGTCAGCGCCGCCTCCGCCGACGGCGCCGCCACAAGCATGCACAAAATGGCCATGCATGCAACCGACTTCACCGCCATCATCTTACCTGCCATTAATTAATTATCTCTGGGTATTCTAATTAATTGTATACTAAGATTTAATATCTACTTTGAAATAAATTTGGTGTATAAATAATACAGCTAGATTGATGTGTTGTGTGTAAGGAGTTTATGAAGGAGGGGTGTTTATATAGGAGAATATTAGCTGAAATAGGACTAAAAAAGTTTGAAAATTTCAAAATATGACTGTCATGTTTTTATTCTCAAAATAAGACTAATTATTGCCATGTTTTGGCAGTACCAGACTTCAAACATGGCAATATTTTTCAAACTTGGCAATAATTACTCCTATTTTGAAAATAAAAACATGACAGTCCCATTTTGGAAAATTTTATTGTTTTAATCCTATTTATGGAACTTTCCCTTTATATAGCAGCGGCTGGAGTAGGGGTTGAGGTAGGGACTGACCTAGGGTGCGCTTAACCCAAATTTTAAAAAAAACAATACTTATATTCTTCATTCTTTAATCTGCTATTATCCCTAAATCCGACTAAAAGTAGCCCAAAATTCCACATTAGGACTATATTTTTTTTATTCCCAAAATATGAGTAAAATATGTATCTTCTTCCTATTTTACCCCCAACCTATAATTTCCCATAGATTTATTTGTTCATACAAAAAATCAAATTTTCATTTATAGTAAAAACATAAAAAATCGTAAAAATATTTATAAATTAATAAAAATTTAGGAAAACATTAAATAAAAGAATATTTAAAAATTTAAAAATATTTTAACAAACTTTAAAAAATCTACAAAAATAAAATACCTAAAAAATTTAGGTCACTACCTCTGCATCCTCCATCACCCAGCACCACCACCTCCGATCGTCGGAAAAATGTCATCTCGTGTAAAAAGTGCCACATTTCTCTGAAAATGTCATAAAGATGCATTTTTACTCTTTCAAAATATCCACCTTTCTTTTCAAAATTGCCATCAGATGATTTTTCCCCAACTTGGCAATCTTTTCCGGCGACTGGAGATGGCGGTGCTGGAAGGTGGCTAAGGTGTCTGGTGGTTGAGGTCTGCGTATTTTTAATTTATTTTTATGATTTTCATTATTCATTTAATTTTTTTTTATGTTTTATAATGATTATTGAAAAAGTCCTATTAGGATCTATCGTTTTATACACCAAATCGCAAGCTCGTCTAATGTTAACTACAAGCAGAGCAGAAAAATCGGGTGTATCACGGTTTCTACTGAACTCAACAAATCAGGCTCTTATCTGAAAATTGCCAAGGAAAAAGGGACCTCCATTTTTGTCCCCATGGGCCCACGCAAATCCAATCTCAATGATTTTTGACATTATTTTTAAATTTTTTGATTTATCTATTTCAGAGCAGGAGGAAGTTGTGTTTTGGGAGCATGACAATTCGGGTGATTCCGAGGAAATCACAATCTCCAAACTCATTTTTAATTATGAAGTTCAGAGAGCCTTTGGTGAGACGCAACAACTCCTCTCATTTGAGAAACCACAAATCCCACTCCTCCAGGTTTACTCTGATGCCTCAGACAGCTATGACCATTCTGATGATTCTTTCTATTCAGACGACTTTCTAGGACATGCAACAGAAAGTGATCGTCGTCCCCCTCTATCAAACAAGGAAGAAATTAGAAACTCCAAATTCAATAGGATGATTTGCCGTAAATCAAAGCTGGTCACATCCGAAAACTGTCTGCCAACAGAAAACCTGAATACACAACTGAAGATTTACAGGAAATCTCAGAAGAATAAAAGGCGCCATAGCATGACGACCAGATCACAAGCCAGAGTCTTCCCTTGGGTGTAGTTTTTGTCTTTACTTTTCATTTCTTTTATGTATTTTTTCCCCTTTATTTATCTTTTCGCACTGTAATTTTCTTATTTTATGAATAAAGTTATTTTTAACCAAAAAAAAAAAAAACGATCAATGAGTAAATTCACCAAATGGATCATTGCTGAAATAAAAAAAAAAAAAAAAGTCCTATTAGGAAAGACAAGGGAAAGGGTAGAATAGGAAGAGTTAGTCCTATTTTGAGGATTCAAATATTAAACTCTTATTGTTGCAATTATCCTTTTATTTAGTCCTATTTAGGGAAATCTCCCCTTTTCAATTGTTGCCACATCGTTATTTTTGTTATATTTATACACCTTACTTTGATCACGTTTTTGTACTAATATACGTAATCAAATTATTAGGTACTTATTAGGTAGTATAAAATTTTATTAAATTTCTATGAATGTGAATACCCAAAATTTATTTGTTTTAATTTGTAATGTTTACTCATTCATGATTAAATATAATTACAGTCAAATAATGCGTTGACAAACGTAAAAGTCAAATAGTTGGAATTGTTAAACAACAGATAGAGGATAGTACATTTTTACTGTAAAAAATTTCACGTAATTTCAAATAATGCCCTGACTCTGCCATCACTCTCCCATTAACATTGAAACATGAGGAGAAGGTGCAATTATTAAGAAACGTGAACTTATGTTATTAATACGTAGTACTATAGTATATATTATACATTGATAAAATAAGAATAAATTAAGACAATCTTAATACTACGGTGGAGAAATACTGGACGCAAGGGCGTAGCCAGGGGCCAGCCCTTACCCAGACCAAATTTTAAAAATTTCTGTATTTTTAGTGTAAAAAAATTCACCTGAAAAATTTTAAAAAAATTCTTTGTACCGGCCCAGTCCGACCCAATATAATGTCGACCCAATATAATGTCCTGGCTCCGTCCTAGACAAGACGTGATAATAGAATAAAATTAGCTTTTGAGATGGGTAAGAATGTTTTCTTTAGGATTGTTTTCAATCTCATACCAGACCAGATCAGACCAAACCATATTAGACCAAACCAAATCAAATCAAACTTTCGTAGTTATCAAATACACAGAGACCAGACATTTACCAGATCAAACCAGACTAATTCAGACCAAACTAGACCCGTAAATTTCACTTCAAAAGTAAACATCCTAATAAGCTTGATAATTAACGTCGGTCTATGGTGGGGTAGAGACTTGGACGTGAACCAATAAGCTTCAGATCCACACGACACGTATGGTGCGTTACGACGTACGGATGGCCCGAACTAATTAAGGGCCTGCCGGCAACTCCAGCCCTTCCCTTCGTAGTCTAGCTAGCTACTAGGTCCACTTTGTCACTTTCAAAATCAATCCACAAATTCAATCGATGAATAATTTTGATTAGTAATTATGAATAAGCACTAAACACTGTTTTTATGGAAATTATTGATATTATATTTTTACAAAAGGCATTTTTAACAAATACGAAGTATTATGAAAGTATTTTTATGTAGTATACTATAAATATATCATTGGTTAAAATTTAATATCTTGACAAAAATTTAATAATAATGTCTAATGGGAAGAAGAGAGAAATTTACTCATTATATTTATTTCAATGCAATCCGTATTGAAAAATTTTGATTTTTTTTTGAGGAAAAAAATAATAATGGAAATCAAACATTCTGGAAGATTTGGAAGATTTGAGAATAATATTAGCATATATTTTTAGTATCAGATTATAGTATTTTAGGACGGAAAATATTTAATTAGTTTGTAATATTTTTTATTGTATCCTTCTGTATATATATCCTTCTATTAGGTCCCCAGATTTTGATGTGTAAGGTTTTGATGATGTCACCCCCCTTTCCCTATCCTGTATTAGACTAAAAGATCACTTGATCTGTAGCTTTAGTTTTGTTTATTGTATTGTGCTACAATATGTGCTGAATAAAAAAGTACTCAAAACAGAGTTTTTTCCCAAAATAAAGCTAAAGCAAAAACTATTTACCAAATTAGTGTTTGGTTAAAAACATTTACCAAACTACTGCTCCTTAGAGCCATGGTTAAACAAAAACGACATGCGGCTTTGGTTCAATTGAAAGCTACCGTACGAATGGACTAAGGAAGAGAAGGCAAGTGGGACCCATATTTAGAAAAAAACATCTTTATTCTTTAAATGGTTATAACTTTTTTATTATTTGTCTAACATTTATAAAAAATATATCAAAATTCATAATTTTTTATTATCTTTCATATGACATCAATATTGGATATATAAAAATTTAAAAATAATTTATCACTTTAATAAAATCTATTTTCAAAGTAGTATACTCCGTAATTTTTTTATTTGCACTCCGATTATTTTAAAAAATATATCAAAATTCATAACTTTTTATTATATTTCATAAGACACTGATACTTCATTGGCAAACATAGAAATATAATTTAGCACATTAAAAAATCCGTTTTTTAGAGTGTTAAACTCCGTACGTTTTTTTACACTCTGATAGTCTTTAAAAATACTTGTACTAAAATTCATAAGTTCTTATTACTTTTAATGTGCCACTAATCTTTCATAACGTAGTATATAAATACATAATTTAGCACAATTTTTAAAGTGCAATAACTTTTTAATTTGTAGTCTAATTGTTACAAATAATATATCAATATTTATAACTTTAGGGGTGAGCATTGGACACTATGAGACGATTATTTTAAAAAGACTGTCTCGTTCCAAAGTACGATTCTTTTAAAAATTAAAGAACTGGTACCGTCTCGAATATAAATAGTATATTATAACATGTCCCTCCCGTACCAATTTTTGGTATGGATGGATGCGCTTCTTAAGTACTTCTTCCATTCCATTTTTGTTGTCTTACTTTTCTTTTTGAGTTGCTCTAAAATGGATGTCATGTTTCTCTTTTGGAAAGAAATTTATGATCCATATCATTTCACCTTATTCTACTCAAATCTTAACCACAACTTTTACTTTGTAACCACTTTATTAGTAATTGTGCCAAACTGAAATGAGACAACCATTATGGGACAGAGGTAGTATTATTTTTCCAACTCGTTCGATTCCGGTATAGTTCAAGACAATTCTCGGTACGGTACAAGAAATCCTAGATCCGTACTCAGTCATACATAACTTCTTTATTGCATTGCATATGAACCTAATATTGCATGTTTAAATGATTTTTTAAACGGATGAAGCTTCATAAACTTTAAAAAAAGTTGCCATTTTTAGCTGAAAGTACAATGGGGGGCTTCAGATAGTGAGGTTTTAGCAAAAATGGCAATTTTATCCT